TAAGCTCTGGTCAGCTAGGAGTCAATCCAAATTTAATTGCACTCACGTTTATCACTATAATCCAAAGCTAGGATTAAAATACTGGCAACAGCGTGCAACGAGACAGGCTCAGAAAACCTTGCAAAGGATTGAAATTGGAAAACAAAAAGCTAGGCAATTCTAAGGATTAGTCTATTTTAAATCTATTATTTATTTATTTAAAGCATTTCTATGCCGCCCCCATTGCAACAAAGCCTTGGGGCGGCTCACAAGAGACATAAAAATACAATCAATAATTTAACAACTGGTACCATCTCGGCTATATATTAAAATCTATAAATACAATAATAATAAATTAACAGTTAAAATAACTTTTAAATAAAAAGGTCTTCGCCTGGCGCCGAAAAGCAAATAGTGATGGCGCCAGGCGGACTTCTCTGGGGAGCGCATTCCATAGGTGGGGCGCCACCGCAGAAAAGGCCCTTCTCCAGGTACTCAGCCTCCTGATATCCTTCACGGAGGGTTCCTGGAGAAGGGCATCCACTGCCGATCGTAGGGGCGGGTGGGCATATATGGACGCAGACATTCCTTTGGATAAGCAGGTTCCAAGCCGTTTAGGGCTTTATAGGTCATAACCAACACCTTGAATTGAGCCCGGACTTCAATCGGGAGCCAGTGAAGCTGACGGAGAACTGGGGTTATATGAGAACAACGCCCAGTCCCCGTCAGCAACCTGGCAGCTCTATTCTGCACCAACTGAAGTATCCGGACTGTCTTCAAGGGTAGCCCCACGTAGAGCGCGTTGCAGAAATCTAGTCAGGAAGTTACCAACGTGTGGGTCACTGTTGCCAGGCAGTCGTACTCCAGGTAGGGGCGCAGCTGATGGATCAGCCGGAGCTGAAGGAAGGCGCTCCTCACTACTGCTGTCACCTGAGCTTCCAATGACAGCTCCGGGTCGAGGAGCACTCCCAAGCTGCAGACCTTGTCCCTAAGAGGGAGTGCAACCCCATTCAGGACTAAGTTCAATTCACCCTCTCCGAAGCCCGATCCACCACCAACAGGACCTCCGTCTTGTCTGGATTGAGCTTCAGTTTATTGGCCCTCATCCAGTCCATGACCTCGGCCAGGCACCGGTTCAGCACAGCCACTGCCTCACCTGGATTGGTGGAAAACGAGAGGTAGAGCTGGGTATCATCAGCATACTGGTGATTCCGCAGCCCACACCTCCGGATGACCTCTCCCAGCGGTTTCATGTAGATGTTGAATAGCAAGGGGGACAAAATGGATCCCTGTGGAACTCCATGGCATAGCTGCCATGGCACAGAGGTAAAGTCCCCCAGAACCACCTTCTGGAATCAGCCATTGAGATAGGAGCAGAACCACTGCAAAGCAGTGCCTCCTACTCCCAGTCCCGTTAGCCTATCCAGAAGGATACCATGGTCGATGGTATCAAAAGTCACTGAAAGGTCCAGGAGGACCAAAAGGGACGCACTATGGTGGTGCAGGGCCTCAGGGGACGGCTGCCCCTGTCAGTCTCTTTACTAATGGCCAGAATGAATTACCAGGATCCGCAGGGAAGGCTGAGTCACCTTGAACCCCCAGTGGTAAAACAGGCAGTTTTATATTTATTTATTTATTTATTTATTTATTTATTTATTTATTTATAATGTTCATATCCTGTCCTATACATAAAAGTCTCAGGATGATTCAACAACAAAGAGACAATATCACGTCTATAATAAAAGCCCGATTAAAATAGGAATTAGGTCTTTAATGGGAAAATAAAAAGGGTTTTGCCTGGTGCCGAAAAGAATTACATGTTGGTGCCAGGTGCACCTCTCTGGGGAGCGTGTTCCAGAACCAGGGTGCCACCGCGGAGAAGGCCCTTCTCTGGGTAGCCACTCTCCTACTCTCCTTCAAAGAGGGCTTCTGAAGAAGGACCTTGACTCAGGTTTTAGTGGGTGGGCAGGCACCTAGGGAAGGAGATGATCCTTCAGATCTCTCTTGCCATCTTGCCCACGGGAACCCTAAGATAAAAGTAAAACCAGGTGGCAGAATTATTAATACTGCTGCTAATTTTCTGCAGTGCGTGGAGAGGAGAGCCAAACATGGCCAGAAAAAAGCAGGGCTGAGAAAAATGGATGTTCTCTTATTAGCCTGAAACAACAGAATTTGACTGTAAGGTTTCTCTTCTCTCTTTTGATTTGTCAGGTGACAAAGCCATCTGGAAACACGACTTCTTCCCTTAAAAGTTCAACAAATGAAAAGGGTAAGTGGAGGCAAAGAATCAGCATTTTTACTGATCCATTTTTGTTATATTTACATCTTGCCTTTTTTCCTTCCAAGGCTTACATAATTCTCCTCCTCCTCTCAATCTTTTTCACAACAACCCTGCAAGGTAGGTCAGGCTGAGAGTCTGTGACTGGTCCAAAGTCACCCACTGAACCCTGACTGCCCGAGACCCAGTCCCATGTTCTATTTGTAAGAACAATTTTAAGAGGAAATTAAGTAAAACCAAATACAGAAACCCTTTGAAAGCAATCATTTGGGTCACATCTGAAAGTGAACCTACTAGGTGTGGGCTTAAGAACCTAAGATAAGCTCTTCTGGACCAGACCAAAGGACCATCCAGTCCAGCTTTCAGTTCTCACAGTGGCCAGCCAGCTGTCCATGGGAAACCCACAAGCAGGTCAAGAGTGCAACAGCACCCATGTTCCCCCGCAGCTAGAGTTTCTGAACTAATTCCAGAATTGCGTTGTGCCACAGTCCTTCAATCAGAACTATGCAAACAAACATGCAAACAAAAAGGGCGCCTTCTCTCGCAGGCCACCAGGGGGCACTGCATCGCGCTGCCTCACTTCGCTGCTTCCGTCTTTAGTAGTAAGAACCAAAAGCCCAGATGTGCGGAAGGCAGTAACAGCAGCCCGTGGCTTGTCCCAGCATCTTCGGTTTGGGATAAGAACCGACTTCTTTCCTGGGCTTGTGAAGCCAGCCTTTGCACAGAATAACCAGTGCACTGGGGGAAACTGGCAACTTTCCACCAAAGTTTAGTGGGCAATCTTTGATTTTTCTGTTTTGCTCCTCTGGTTGCACGCCCATTGGGTTATGGTGGGTCATTAGCACTGGCATGGGGACACCGCTGTAGAGTCCTTGCAATGCCTTCTAAATGCAGACTGGCAGATCTCTCATGTTCTCCATGCAAACGGTCCCACCTTTTCCCTCTGGGAAGTGATAATATGCAAACAGGACTGGGGACAGCTCCCTGCAGCTGCATGGGAGAACTACTGCCATTCCTTGCATAGAATTATATAAAATGTTGAGAGAGCCAGTGTGGTGTCGTGGTTCAGAGCGTGGGACTGGGACTCAGACGATCTGGGTTTGAGTCCCCGCTCAGCCATGAAGCCCACAAGTGACTTTGGGCCAGTCACGGACTCTCAGCTCAACCTACCTCACAGGGTTGTTGTGAGGATAGAAGGGAGAGGCCTTGGATTTCTTGCAGGGGGAAGAAAGGTAGGGTATGAATGTAATGTAGTAAGAATAATTCCATGTAGCCTATGGTTACATCTTTAAAAACCTGGACATTCCTGCCTGGAACCTTGGCCTATTCACATTCCTCACATGAATGTTCCCCTGGAATGAGCTGTCTCATTTCCCACTCAACTTGCCAATTAGGGATAGTCTATATAAAGTGATGATGAACTAGTATTGAACACTAGTTATAATCAATAAAATAAGCAAGAATGATTCAATTAATTGTAGGATATATCAGAAGTCAATAGGAGATTTTTTATTTTATGTTAGGAATGCTCTTTGGCAATACCAATTAAAAAGGTGGGGATAATTAATTAATGTATGGAGGAAAAAGTAGACTACAAACTTTAATTAGATCCTTTGTTTCACCTTCTTAATTTTATGGGTGGATTTGCACAAGGAATTCACAGTGTATTCACAAGGCGACTGTAGGCTGGAGATGATGAAGTGCAGCAACAGATAACAGGTTGGCTGTAGGGAGAAAAGCAGGCAGAAGAGTGGAGGGGATAAATAGCGCCTTCGAGGGAAGAGGAGCGGGAGAAAATGTGGGACTCTGCGATGCTGGCAAAGAAGAACAGAGAAAAGAAAGGAACGCAACAAGAGAAAAAGGAGTACCTTTGGGAAAAGACACGTGCTTTCCGTAGATATAAAATGACACAGGGCCTCCCCCAAAATTGACATCGTTTCGTAGTCTAATCACATAGTCAATTCTCACTCAGATGATCTCAACTTTTAACAAAATGTGTAAAAACTAACTAATGTTAGTTACGCAATGCTACGCAAGACATGCTACAGCATGTTTGGCAGGAGGTGGACTACCGACTTCACGAGTGTCGTGTCACAGGTGGTGCACATATTGAACATTTGTGAAGCTTTGCAAAATCAGTTATCAAATCTACATCCCTTTGAATCTCTAGTTCGAATTTTGATAAATAAATCTTTTATTGGTCAACATGAAGCCTATTTAATTTCGTTTGCCTAGGACATGTAGTTACTCAGATATTCGCATTTCAAATAATGTCAAAATATTTGGGACACCCTGTATATCCAAATATTCAATTCTGTTTTTCAGCCACTTGATTTGGGGTGGGATCCAATGAGGCCGCCTGTGCTCTTCTGCTTCTGGAGGAGTGCCGGACTCCTCCGCATGGTACAAGCACAAAGATAAACTCCACTTTCCTTCTGCCATGCAAACCACTTCGAGAGCAGAGTTCATCCAATTGCTTGTCCCAGAGAGGGTGGCATGGCGAGCGGAATAGCCCCAAAACACTGCATATACCGGCTGCTTTCGCTCTGCACTGGTGCTCCTGTTTTCAAAGGCTGGCTGGCTCTTGCATGCGTCAAGTATGAAGTGCCTCTGGTTTGCCAAGCACACGGATATAAAGCCTGTTTAACGTGTATTGTTGCAATCGGTGTCTCCTTCGTTCCTAATTTATTATTAAAATGTTTTAATAAATAATAATAATAATAATAATTCCTCAGAACTTGTATTTTCAAATGGACACACCTGGATGCAGCAAAAGGAGATTGGTTTAATTCTGATGCAGAAGCTGGAAGTGGAGAAGAAAAGCATTGCAGGACCGGTAGAAGAGGAGGCCTGTCAGCTTGTGGAGAGCTTTGCACTTGTAAAGGGTACGTGATATTGAAAGGTAGTGCTGCGGCACTATCTTCACAGAGCGTTTTTAAAAAATGCAAACAGTGTCTATGTATTTTGGAGAGGGAGCTGACAGATTTTCAGTTGTTTTCTAATGTAAATGTTGCCTTTGTCCCAGCATGAAATTTCAACCTCAGTGTCAAGCGGAGAGCAGAATCAGACTGTTTGCACATGTCTCTGTTTGCAGGGAGGCCCCTTGACCCTTTATCACTCATCACTAAGTCCGTGTGTAATGTGGTATGTGCTGTGGCTTTCGGGCACCGATTTTCTACCGAAGACAAAAGTTTCCAGTTGCTGACTGAAGCTATTGACATTGCCTTAAAACATGGAGGGAGCTTCGTTTACACAGTGAGTAGTCTTTCACATTCCCATTGTTACCCAGGCTTCCTCAAAGGCCATATCCCATGATCCACGTCAAAGAGCCGGGTGCCCCGGGCCCAGTCTAACCTACTTCGCAGATCTCTTATGAGGACAAGAGAGCTGAAGGAACATTAGCCGAGCTCCTTGGAGGAAGGGTGGCATAAATTACCAATTTTGAAATAATAGACATCAGTGTGTAGGAGCTGGAATAACTCCCCAGGGAGGAAAGGTTGCAAAGCTGGGACTGATTTGCTTAGAATAACAATGAGTAAGGGCAGACACGAGGAATTCAAGGGAGAGAAGGGTTGGACTGTCTTCTGATCATGATGACGGAATGCCGTGTCCAACATCAGATGCAGTATTTATTTATTTATTTCTCGATTTATATCCTGCCTTTTTCCTACAAAGGGCTCAAGGCAGCTAACATCTCATTCTCCTCCTCCATCTTATCCCCACAACAACAACCCTGTGAGGTAGGTTGGGCTGAGCATCTGTGACCGGCCCAAAGTCACCCAGTCGGCTCCATGGCTGAGCGGGGACCAGAACCCAGATCGCCTGAGTCCCAGTCCCAGGCTCTTAACCACAACTCCACACTGGCTCTCTGCATGTCAGCTGCTGGGGAACATGGGTGCGAGGGTGCTGCGGCGCTTGGCTCCTGTGTGAGGGTTTTCCACGGGCAGCGGGTTGGCTTTAGTGGAGACGGAACGCTGGACTGGGTGGAGCCTTGCTCTGAGCTCGCCGGGCCCTTTTCCTGTTCCCCAAATGGGTGCCCGCCAGCTGCGGCAGCTGCAAGTCCAACCCATCCCAGCCATCAGGGCTGTGGAGCTGAGAAGCACTGGGCGAGGATTTCAGGGGCACAGCAGCCCACGGGAGCAACGGCGGGACTTATCCACAGCGTGCTGCCTGGGGCAGCATATTCATTAGGGCTGCCTTTGAAAACAGTCCAGAGACTTCACTGACCCAAAACGGGGCAGCAAACTTGTTGATGGGAACTGGCGTATGAGAACTTACCATGCCAGTCCTTTTCCAGCTGCACTGCCTGCCAGTTAAGTCCAAGCCTGATTCACGGCCCTAAATGACCTGGGGACAGGTTATCTGAAGGAATGCCTGGTCCCGTATGTACCTACCTGGCCCAGAGGCCATCTTCGGGAGTCCCTTTCTGGGAGCTGCCTCCAAAGGAAGTAAAGCCCGGAGAAGGGCCAGGAGAAAGGCCTTTTCGGTGGTGGCAACCTGGCCATGGAATGTGCTCCCCAGAGAGGTGTGCCTGATGCCTACTCTGCATTCTTTTTGGCACTAGGTGAAAACCTTTTAACTTTTAAACTTAGGTTTTAATATTGCATTTTATTCTGTACGGCTGCTATAACTCTGTGCTGATTCAGTTGTAATTGCTGTGGTTTTATTTTCTTATGCCCCCGCTCCCACACACACTTATTTGGGAGCCTCAGCGATCGGACAGTGTCAACATGAGAGAGAGGGAGAGAGATCTCATAAGTCGTGTGCGTGCTCGTGGATGGTCGTGTGTGCATAAATAAGAGGACGGCAGGGAGAGAAAAGGAGGGAGTCATGGCATGGGGCAATGGACAGAGTCTGTGTGAGAGAGGATGAGTGCTGGAAAGGGAACGAGAAAAGGACCTTCCTGTCCACCACTGATTCTGGCTTTGACTACTTTCCCCCAAGGAAATGCTGAAGCCCTCAGTCTTTTCCAAAGACACCTTGACCAAATCGATGGTGGCTCAGACACCTGCGTTTCTGGCCTCCTCGTGCTAAAGGAGTGACAGGATTCTGCTTTCTTCTTTCCTGCAGCTGCTTAGAAAGTTCCCCTGGGTTATGAGGCGGCTCCCAGGGCCCCACAAGAAGGCATTGTCCTCCAGGGAGCTGGTGCTTTCATTTGTAAAGAGAGAGATCAAGAAACACAAGGAGAATCGGGCGGGGTGTTTGCCACAGGATTTCACTGATTTCTATCTGCTTCAGATGGAGAAAGTAAGTAGCCACTTTGCTTGTCAAAGCAGTTAAGCCAAGAAATTATTACCTTCTTTGCTGAGATTGAACCAAGGGTTTCCGAAGAGGCACCTGGATGATTTGTAGGCTTCAGAGAACTTTGGCATTGTCTCTGTCCCTCCATCACTCCCTGCAGCGCTTCCCCTCTATTAGCATCGGCTCTTAAGGTGGATCATAATCCCCAAGTTACCTGAAAAGGCTAGAAACCCTTCGATACAGAGCATGGCATCAAAGCATCACAGAGCAGTTGAGCTGGAAGGGGCCAGAAGGCCATCAGGTCCAACCCCTGCACAGTGTGGGAGTCCAGGCCAAACCTTCCCCATCAGATGGCCGTCCGGCTGCATTCTGAATGCCTCCAGTGTGGGAGAGCCCACCACCTCCCCAGGTCTTGGGCTCCACTGCTGTACTGCTGTAGCAGTCAGGAAGGTCTTCCTGATGTCCAGCCAGAACCTGGCTACTTGCAACTTGAGCCCACTATTCCTTGTCCAGCATGATGGAGAAGAGATCCCGCCCCTCCTCTGCGAGACAGCCTTTTAAGTATTTGAGAGGTGCAGCCGTATCTCCCCTCATTCTTCTCTTCTCCAGGATTTTTTCATCACCTTGGTTCTGAATACACTGAAGGGCCATAGCACCTAATGTATATGTGCCACGTCTTTGAAGGACAACCTTTAATTTGTTGCGGACAATATCCCACCTCTCTGTTGTCCACCACAGAGCAAAGGGGACTGCAAATCAACCTACAGTGAAGAGAAGCTGGCAGAGTGTCTTCTCGACCTCCTTGTCGCCGGGACGGAGACAACAGCCACGACTCTGCAATGGGCACTCCTCCTCATGGCGACTCATCAAGATATCCAAGGTGAGAGGAGAGGCTGTTGTTGATCCCATTAGGGGAACAAATATTTTTTTCAGTATCAGACTGAAATTCTCTGAGATGAACTTACCCGGTGGGTAATTGATATGTATGCCCGTCTCATGGGCCTTTAAAATGAGTACATTCAAAAATAGTACGTCATTTACTTCAAGCCCTAGCCATGTCCTTAGTGGTTTGAATACATTAAAGAGGCTTGCTTCGAACTAAATGAGCTTGTGGTTAGCATTTTAGAAAGGGCAAGAAAAACCAATTAAACTGAAGGCGTTGGCTTCATATCTTAGGATAGAATACTTTTCCACGCACAGTTTGCTAAATAGTTGATGGAAACAATGTTTTTTATTTAGTAAGTAACTTGGAGAAGATTCTTCAAAGGTTGCTTAGAAATACTTTTAGATGAAATGAGAAGAAAACCCATGGGCTTCTCACTGAAACACAAGGAACCCCCCGACAGACACATACTGCACCCCAAAATAGCACAAACTCTCACCATCACCTGTGTGGGGAACAGCCAAGGAGAAAAAGGGTGGGAGACCTAGTCCTGAGATTATCCGATGCTCACACTGAGATCCATATCGTGTCACAGACTTTGGCCTCAGTTCTAGGCATCCCATGTCGTTTCTAGGCCAGCCTTTGCTAGCCTGGTCCACTGTAGATGCACTGGATTGCATTGGATTGCAATGCCCATCATTCCCAGCCAGCATCTGACAGGAATCAGGTTTGAGAAAGCTGGCAAAATAGATATGTGCCATAATATATATGTAATACTTTGGAATTTTGAGGTGTACCCTGGATTTCCCCCAGTATTGTTTGGATTACCATAATGGAAAGTTTTCCTGTAACAGAATCATGGGAAATAATTTCCTGCAGAATAAAAGTAATGTCCTAACTTTGCTGGGGTAGCCACATTGACCAGAATAAAGGTTTTCCTCCCACCTCAACATTTCCCTCAGATAAAGTCCACAAGGAGTTGAAAGATGCCTTGGGTTCCACTCCGTTCGTCTGCTATCAAGACTGGAAGAAACTGTCCTACACCAATGCTGTGATCCATGAGATCCAGCGTGCTAAATATGCCATCTTATTCAGAGTCTTCAGAAAATTTACAAAGGATGTGAACATCTTCGGTTTTCTCATTCCTAAGGTATCTAAATTTGGTACAGCTGAACCTCTGTAAACCAAGAGCAAGGATATTAGAGAATTAGCATGTTAAGAGCTGTGTCCACACAAGACTTTCTGTGTAATGGAAATTCGAAAGGAGATAAGACGTCTTTTTGCTTCCCCCCACTCACTCAGAGTGTCAGACTGCACTGGAGTTAGTGTGTCATTTCTGCACAATCTGTGCCATTTCTTTTACTTGTGTGTTGCACGGTACCTGGTGAATAGGGGAGCCAAGGAGTGCTCAGGTATTTAATATACTTTCCAAAATAACTTCCCCTATTTAGTAGCAGGAATACTTCACGAGTCTCTATTTGCAGTAAAATCTCTTTTGGTTTTACTGATAGCAAAAAACTCTGTGCTGGTTTCAGGAATAAGGATTAGAAATTAACCAGCAAATAATGCCAGTTTAGTTCACTGTTGTGAAGAGGGATTTTTTTGTTAAAGCAGTTTCACAGCATGGTACAAAAGTTTTCCCCTTGCTTGTGTGTGTGTGTGTGTGTGTGTGTGCGCGCACACACACACACACACACGTAAACATGCTAAAGATTATTATGGAAACCACAAAGGACTGATTTGTTTGTCTTCTGTTTCTTCTTCCAGGGGACTTCTATTAACCCTGGTCTGAACTCTGTTCTTCTTGATCCTAAGTTATGGGAAACACCTGAAAAATTCAACCCAAATCATTTTTTAGACAAGGCTGGAAAATTTGTAGCTAGAGAAGAATTTCTGCTATTTGGTACAGGTAAATGGAGAAGTAATTTCTTGTTATATTATTATTATTATTATTATTATTATTATTATTATTA